AGATAGAAAGGAAGAAGAGAAGAAAACAAAGTTCAACTCAGTTGAGAATTCTCACAATTGTGTCCTACTTATTTTATTATTAGTAAGAAGCATGTGTGTTGCATGTCGGACTTTATTATTTAGGATTTTTTATGGATTTCGTGTATTTATATATTTGAAATTATAAATTTATATCTATTATTTTGTATCATGAAGCAATGGTGATATTGGTAGTGTAAATAGTAATTTAGAAGAGATTATTTTAAAATTTCTAATTATATATTGTTTAAAAACAAAATATTTGATGTAATGACTTGTATAAAATTGTAAAAATAAAAGAAATTTTATCGGTCTTTATCTTCTTCATTTTCCTATACTGCATTGTGTTCATGTCTTCTATCCAAGTTGTCTAAGATACATCGATCTTAATTATAATTATTATTATAACTTTTGCAAAAATATGTGACAAATTTGTTCTTTTGTCAAATCGAATGATAAACAAGTATATCTTTTCCTTCATTTGCTTTAGATTTGCTATGAATTTGTTCTCAAAATTGCTTTTCTTTTCACAATGAAAAAGAATGTTGTGAGAATTTGACATGCTTTTGTTTTTTTTTTTTAATTTGATGGTTTCGACTATGTACCTAACTATGTCATCGATTGCTTCAAGCAAAGTGACTATAGCTTTTGTAGTATTATCAAGGACAATGAATCTAAACATGTATCTGTTAGTATGTATAATTAATAATTATAAAGTTAGTATTAACTTTGTTATATTTGTTTTGTAGATAATGGTAAGTGTAAATTTTTCACTTTTCCATTTGTCAAAATATGTTCCCTCTGACATTAGCTCTACCTTTTTGTGGCATTGATTGCATGCATTATACCATGATTCATCCAAGTTTAGGATGTCAATTTTGATAACCTTAACAGAGTAGTAGTTTTTCCATACAATCACAGTAATATATTTTTTTGTAGTATCAGACCTAACTTTCAGCATTTTTTTTAATTTTTATTCATCAACATTATTATTATATATATAATAAATAGTTGGTATTATTACTATTATTCATTATTATAATAATTTTTATTCATTATTATTATTATCATTATTATAAAAAATAGTTATTATTATACAAATAAAACAAAAATATTATATGTATGTATATATGTAAAAGCTCGATTAGGCTCAAGAGTTGAGCTTTATTAGTTTTGTTACTGCCAAATATGGAGCCGAGGGCAACAACATACTTTTTGGTGTCTGAGGCCGACAGGTCCAACCTACTGAGACAAAAACGACGTCAGAGGCCCCGGGAGTTATCCTTGGGGCGAAGACTCCGACAGTCAAATTAGCCGAGGGTTGTGAGGAGTCAGACCAAGCAAGTGAGGAAACTTAGAGCTTAAGTCTATGTGTACTTACTTCAATGTGGGAACCCCTTTTATAGCTGGAGTTGCCTTAGAAGAAGAGCAGTTGGGAGTGGTTGATAGTAGTTGATGATAAACGACCACCGGCTGACGCCACATGTCAAGATCTAGAGATTGACTAGATATTCTTACATCACTTGCCCCCCACTCTCAAGGCCGTAGTGGAAGAGGTTGGTTGCCGAGTTGTGTGGAGGCCTCAGCTTCGACCGAAGAGAGTAGGGTGGGTTAGCGTGGAGGCGTTAGTGATAAGAATGAAAATTATCATATTTTCATCTCTTAATATGTAGTCTTTTATACTTATTTAGTGCCTAAATGGACTCATTATTCTTATATTTCGATTTAGGACACGAAAGGAGGCGTTAAGTGGAAAAGAAGGCTAATCGGGTAATTCTGGACAGTTTCGGTGCCATGTGGTAATTTGGAAATAACTCTCCCATCCGGACTGCGATGGAAATGTTTCAAGATGCGTGGAAAGATAAGGAAAATTTCTACAACTTTTATGTTTTGACTTTTGATAGATACGGAATGAATCGAGGTCAAAATCGGGCCCGAATTATCTGCAACCTAACTGCTGACGTGCTGGAGCAATTCCTTAGCCTGCAAGTTTTCATCCGGGAATTCACCACTCTCCTACTTACACGAGAACAGGGTTTTATCTGAAGAGAAGGATATAAAAAGAGGAGAAAAATAGGAGATAAGGGTTCGAACCCCTGAAAGAAAATTGAAGAAAAAGGCTGCTAGGGAGAGGAGAAGACTGCTGAATGCGAATTGGAGAAAGATCACAGCAAGGAGATCGAAGATTGATGCAAAGATTCATAAGTTGTCTTCCTCTTTGGTTCTGCAGTTTGGTAACCTAGATTCGATTAGGGTTTCTTGAGGTTTCTCTATTGAATCTTTCTTCTTTCTTTCTTTATGCGAACCACAATGAGTTTTAATTCTGATTTGTAATTAAACTTAGGCAGATCCGATTGAGTATGACTTGTTCTTGGGATTCTTGATTGGGGTTTTAATTTATAAAACAATCTTGGCCGAATTGTTCTTGCATCTGTGATTACTTTAATT